ACAAACTTTCTTGAATTAGAGCAGAAGCTTCCCTTGGAGCAATATAGTTATCCATTGGCTCTGGTTATTTCGTCGATATCTTAGACTTACTTAGACTTAGTTCCTCCCGTGCTGATCAGCACATCGGGCGACGAATTCTTTCCACTGTTGCCGGTCTTGTGCAATCTTTTCTCCTTCACTCCTAGAAACATTCATGATCTTGAAATCATTCTCGAACGTTCGTCTCCACGTGTTTCTGGGACGGCCTCTTCCTCGCTTGGCGCCTGGAGGTATCCAGTTCATGGCCACCCTTGGAACTCGTTGTTGTGTCATGCGCAAAATATGGCCAGCCAGTCGAAGCCTACGCTGTGCCACAACCACGTGGAGGCAATTCGAGCCACAACGGCGTAAAACTTCCTCATTAGGTGACGTGATCCATGTAGCGTATTTTCATAATCCGGCGTAGGCATCTCTGGTGAAAGGCGTTCATCCTTTTGACAATACTAGCAGTACTTTTCCATGTTTCACTTGCATATAGTGCAGTAGGAATCACGATGGAGTAGTACAACCGCATTTTGATCTTCTGCGATATCGATGAACTGGCCCATATTGGCTGAAGTCGCCGGACGGCGGCAGCTTTCGCGATTCCGAATGCGTACGTCAGTTTCGGCATCACCATTGTGAGTGACCGTACTTCCGAGGTAAGTGAAATTGTCAACGGTCTCCAGTATCATATCATCAACATTGATGTTCAATTGCGTTCGATCAAAGCCGACCTTCATAACCTTTGATTGTGGGCGCTAATGCGCAATCCAATCATGTTCGCTTCACTGCTAAGGCAAGTGGTCATATAGCAGGTCATAGTTATATAATACTAAGTTGTCGAGAAAGTTACTACGGTTACTGTTTTTGTTGCATCACTGCCTCTTCATGTTGTTATGACCAGGGTCAGATGTACATTGATTAATACTTGACGATGGGGATCGTATGCGGTTTGGCGGCAGGGCAGAATAGCATGTGCCGCGATAAGCAGTGAGCAGAGCAGCGGGGCCTCTTTTTTCAGAGACGAGAACCGCGACTTCCGTGTGACATCGCTAAATGGCGAGCGCACCGCACTTCCCTGAGCACGTTTGTATCAGCGTTATGCGCCCCAAATCGTTTTTTGGATCTTTTCACGCTACACAAACAAACGTTCCTCGTCGATTATGGCGTGTGACGTAGCACGAATCGCTGTGGTAAGCAAAGCTGCTTTCAATAGTACAGCCGAAATCATGTTCATAACACTTTTCAAAGCCAAAGCAGCAAGGAAGGGAGGCAGTAATGAATGCAACCGCTCAATCTATCATTGCAGCAATACAAGTATCGAAAATTATATGGCGATCCTCGGCATGGAAAAATTATCACCCATCATTGCTGTGCCGTTCAAAATGCTTACGCTCCCCCCGCTCGCGATCCATCAGCGACTGGTCCACCTAGCTACCTTAGCTGCCACTTTTTCCTTACCAGACTTTAGCCGAGCTGGAAGGTGGGAGGCTAAGCCCTATTTCACACTTCTTTCCTGAAGTTTCTGTCAAGGTAGTCGAAAAACCCGTCCCTAACTTTGATCACCAATGCCCCTCTGAAAACGTCAAATACGACACTGCGTCACCAAAGAACACACAAGACCAAAATAGCACCTCCAACAAAAATTCTAGATATTGCTCTTCCGTAATAATTGTTGCAACCGACCGTTGATTCTCGCCCAGTCCTTACGAAGCTTTGAAACACTTGCTCCGCGGCAATATCCCCTCTCGCTTCCCAACTACACTCGTTCGAAATTGAATAAGTCTATTCAATGAAAGTGAAAGAAAGCATAAGCTAAATTTGAACCGTGGGACAAATTTAACGATGTGCTTTCAAGACGCCTGAGGTATATACTAGATTAAGAGGTATTCCGTTCGTATCTCGCTCTTTAAAGGAGACTTTCTGGAACAATGGCCCATAGGGATCATCTCGTGTAAACACCTAGCCTCTGGTCATGACCCGAAACGAACAAATCTGTCAACTTATAAATCGGTTTATCCTTAATGCACATCAGCACTGGAAAGAGATCTTTAAAATAATAATAATGCACATATTCATATTTTTTATTTACAACAATATACAGTAATGGTAAGGGAAACGTTCCAGATCAGCAGCGGGAATCAGACCAATCGACGAGGGTCGACGGTTGCATGGCGCATCCTCTGATCGGCCGGTAGGTGGAGTAGGAAGTCGGAATCGTTGATCAGGCGAATCCTCTCTGTCCTCAGTCGTCGCGGTCGAGCCAAGAGCCTTGAATCGTCCCGTCCACGGCTTTTATTCGGGTCCCATCGCTATCTCCGTTTCATCGCCTGAAAAAAGAGAAACCGAAGGCATACCGATTCCATGAGTTAGGGTTTGGCGCACTCCATCGCTCCCTGCCCACCTAAAACATTTGAAATTGGATAGTTAAATGAACAGATTAATGATTTTCCCTTCCCACCCTTTACATCACCCCTTTGCAAAAGTCCGACCTCGGTACCACCTTCACTTTTTTGGAAGGAAGCCGTGCGCTCGCGGTGGTTTTCCCGGCACCAGCGAATTAGGTCCCCCCAGAGAGGACAGACCTCGAAGTGCACAACCGAACCCAGATTAACATACCGTCGCGAGCTCTGGAGAGGGCGACATTGAGGCGCTTGGGATCTGCAAAGAAGGAGAGATTGCGCTTAGGGTTGATATGGGTGCGCGTCGTGCACACGATGACGACCGATTTTTCCGACCCTTGTGCGCTATCTACAGTACTCGCCGTTTGAAATCGAAAATTCACGCGAATAACGCGAATCCTCGTTAATTTCGTGAATTCGTTATAAGTCGGGTCAGAGTGAAGTATTCCAGAAACGGAAAACACCGTTGAACTCAGCTCTTCAAGCGCTACAAGATGGTGCTAAAATATTTTCAGAAAGCTTGATTTCGGAATGCGCCATGCACTCGATTTCATCTCAAAAAGTAGTTGCTCGCATCGAAACGCGAATAACTTCGTATAGCATAAATTCCCGCTTATGCGGGCTAAGACGCCACACACAAAGAAGGGCCTCAAAACTTACCCCAGAATGCGCCACGTACTCAATCTCATCCACTACATTGTGAGATTAGATGAATGTTATTTTCCGAATTCTTAGATCTTCATTTCGTTTTCAAGCGCTTACTAGCTTTACGTGTTCCCTCTGCTCTCAATATCCCATCCTCTGTATATCAAGTGGAATCTTTGAACAGTTCTCAGCAGGCACTCCATGAAGAGACCATATCTTAATGTTAGACAATATATATCCAGATTGTTCAAAAAGAGGCACGGATGGGTTTATATTGCAGCGAAGCCAGAAGGCTCGTGCCCCGCTTAGCGCCAACAAAAATTTACGCAGGTGTGACCTCTGGAAGTAGTCTCTTGCACTCGAACACTCTGAGGTCACTTGGATTCGATGACAAAGCATGTAAGTTCGGAAAGGCCTCACGCCGGAAAATAGCCATGCACGAGCCATCCAGTGCTCACGGCAAGGGCCAGGCTCGAGGTTGTCCAGACTTATCGTCCGTAGAGTGTGACCCCAAACATCACGCCTATAGCTCATTACTCGCCTTTGCACCCCTATACGATGGACAAGCTCCAAATTTTTGAGAGGAATTGTTTTTGTAGAGATAGCCGTGTTGAAAGGAAGCGCCGAATTCCGTATAAACGGGTGTCGTTAGATCGACGGCTGCACTGCTGGTCTTGTAGGAATTACCGAGTAGGAAGAACAAAAAAAAGTCCAGTCTAGCCTCACAGCGTGATTCCAAGAGCCAGTCCGGGCTGTTGACTACTTAAAAAAAGACACCAGACCACTCGGTATGGCACACTTGATGGAGGGATACGTTAAGAAATACTCTTACTCTCGCCTTCGCTGACTGAATCTGACCACTAGCAGCCTTGAGAATTTGTGCCCGTTTACGCTTTCGTGAAAAATGCTATCGAATGATATGTATGTTTCCTCCAGTTTGAAACTTTGGTTTTTCACCGTTTTCAGCCTTCCCCTATTGCCGGATTGGGCCCACGATTACTACCCCAAAATCTCAAAGTTTCATTTTTCGTCGAAACTTTGTCTATTGGGGTAATTCGATGCCCTGATTACGAATAAGCGTAATATTCATTACGAGTCTGCACGACGAGAAAGACACGGAACCGCATTTCGGTTTTTGAATCGCTTCGTGTAGTCATTGGGCGCCATTTTGGCGCCATTTTGGCGCCAATGTTTGGCGGGACTGCATAGAACTAATTTAACTAGTCGTCCGGAATTTTATATATACCACTCGCCGTGACCAGTCGGACTGTCTGGGGGCTTGACTCTTCTAGCGCGCGGCGCTGGCCCGAGTCGTGCCCGAATTACTGACCCACCCTGTACTATTAGACACGAGACCGAACTCGCGGTACTAGCCCCATACCCTTGAGTTCATGCCGAATAGGGATTCCTTGTGAGAACTTGTAACTTTTCTGAGTCGCCACATGGCGCGTGTTTCGCACTGCCTATTTCTGGCTGCAGCTCACTGTCATGGGGCAATGAAACGACGTAGCGAGTCAAATGTCAGGCCACACCAGTTCTCAATTTCAGTGCGCGAGCGCAGTATCTCGCCAGCGCGAATGTGTGGGGCCCGTTTTCAGGAGGAACCCGCCGAAATGGCATCGTAGAAGGGTCCTTCGACAATGCGAGGATTGGATAATTGACCGAGCAGCATGTTTATCAAACGAAGACTACAACCGCCGACGTTGGCGGGTACGTCAATCCACAACAGTTGGCTGCTTTTTGCAGCATTGGCAAAGGGATAGGTGGACTCCCTTCGGCCATCGGTCGGAGGCAAAACGACGTTTTCAACTCTTACTGCCGGCACTTCCTCATCATTGATGGTATCAGTAAGTTATGAATACGGAGCACGCTCGCACTACTACCACCCTCAGTGGCAGCTGGAGAGCTTACAGTCGAATTGCTGCTCCCCAACGCATACAGGCATCTCCAGTGAAAACGTGAAAGCCAACGCATACAGGCATCTCCAGTGAAAACGTGAAATATTTTGCTTCTGCCTTAGCCTCACAGTTTCTTCACGGATTCTGGCTGTCCTTCCTGTTCGCCGACTTGGCTAAGCTCCTTCGTGTTTCGCCTCCTCGCACCTTCTTCTTCCCGGTCTGAACTCCTTCTTGTCGTGGCGAAGTCTCCGATTCATATGACCTTTTTCCACAGTGTGTACTACGTTCCTGATCGTGCGCGACCGTCTTAGGCACATTCTATTGACCTGTTCCAAAGCCCTATTTAGCGCTGCACATTCAACGCCCCCCCGCGTCACCGCCACCTCATACTGCGTCCCACCGCTCGGGTGTCTGATCATGTCCGGCGCCTCTGAGAATTGCTACCTAGAGTACCGCTCTCGCACTAGTCGACGTGCTTGGCTTGTTGACCACACATTGGCGTCCGGCATGATCTCACACGCATTACCTGAATAGTTATAATTCTGTCGTCCACGGACGCCAAAAACAATCCCCTCATCGCATACCACACTTGTTCTTACAATAGCGGATTTGGTGTGAAACAGCCGTAGCGCAAATGGCGCCAGCGCTATAAAAACTGGCGTCAACCCACTCGCCCGCCCCTCACCTCTGTTTTTCCCCTAACTGCACGCGACCCTCACCTAACTCCACCAAATGCCGGCATCCGCCTTCCTCCCGGATGTTTCAGCAGATTTGGTGAAAACAGCCGTGGCGCCAAATTGGCGCCAAACGGCGCCAAATGGCGCCAAATGACACCAGCATCAAAAATGAATGTCATATTCGTAATCAGGGCATCGAATTACCCCAATAGACAAAGTTTCGACGAAAAATGAAACTTTGAGATTTTGGGGTAGTAATCGTGGGCCCAATCCGGCAATAGGGGAAGGCTGAAAACGGTGAAAAACCAAAGTTTCAACTGGGGAAGTAATGCATATCATTCGATAGCATTTTTCACGGGGAAGCTAACGGGGCACATTTCAGGTCTGCGAGTTCATCTGGAAATGCAAAAAATCTGAACATTCCACAAGGGCATGACGAGGAGGCATGTTTGGGGCCACACCACGGAAGGAACGCTTACTTGCGACCGAGTTTTCCACATAATTCCTACAGACAAGTGACCATAGTCTACGACAGTGAAGGAAATTCTTCGCTTCCTTTACAGCTTTCTACAAAACATTCCTCTAAAAATGGGACTTGTCACGTAATAGGGGGCAAAGGCATGACAAGGGGTGATGTTTGGGGTCACACCACGGAAGAAACGCTCACCTGCGACCAAGGTTTCCATATAATCCTTACAGACAAGTGACCGTAGTCTACGACAGTGAAGGAAATTGTTCGCTATCTTCACAGCTTTCTGCAAAACATGTCCTCTGAAAATGGAAAATGTCACATAATAGGCCCACTATGCCTGCTGAGAACTGTTCAAAGATTCCACTTGATATACAGAGGATGGGATATTGAGAGCAGAGGGAACACGTAAAGCCAGTAAGCGCTTGAAAACGAAATGAAGATCTAAGAATTCGGAAAATAACATTCATCTAATCTCACAATGTAGTGGATGAGATTGAGTACGTGGCGCATTCTGGGGTAAGTTTTGAGGCCCTTCTTTGTGTGTAGCGGTTAGCCCGCATAAGCGGGATTATATACACATCACATGCGAGCAACTATAAACATGCGAGCAACTACTTTTTGAGATGGAAAATTCCGATGCGTGCATGGCGCATTCCGAAATCAAGCTTTCTGAAAATATTTTAGCACCATCTTGTAGCGCTTGAAGAGCTGAGTTCAACGGTGTTTTCCGTTTCTGGAATACTTCACTCTGACCCGACTTATAACGGCGTATACTGTACGGTTTGATCGCAACGTTGGATCCTTCTAGCGCGGACTCAATTTGATAAAGTTGATCTCGGTAGAGGCAGATGACCCATGATGTTTTCGCTGAGATGGACGACGCCAGAAGAAGGCGTTCTATTACGGCGACTGCGCGAGCTTCGACCGGGTTGCTCTGACAACCTGTCACGACTGTACCGATTCGCCGATGATGTTGATAAAAGCGATCGGTAGGTCCGTCTGTTTGGCATTCATACACGGTTGAGGAGCGCGAGGCGGGCCTCTTTAGGAGTTACGCAAACCAACTCGCTGTTGTAGAAAATATGCGAGTTGAGCGCCATCACGTTAGGATGCGGTCTATACACTTGCACGTTGGGGGATTGCCGACGCGTCGGGCGATGTCCAATACGGATCGCGAGCAAAGGGTGACGACGAGCGGTGCGGGTTGTGTGCCGATGTAGGTTGAGCAGTTGCGTCACTATCGATGACGAGCGTATATGTAGCGTCCGGGAACCTCAAGAAAAGACTAATGAGGGTGGCTTCCGAGATCATCAAAGCTTCGTCCGAGAGGACGGTGCTCCATTTGCGCGAAGGGCGACGCCATAGTCCGTTCTTGGTAGTGAGGGTTTGATGGCGACAAGCTTCGGTACAGCCCAGTGTAAATACGTTCGCGTCATTAGATCTTTCAGGAACCTCGTCCATGAGCGTTTAGATGCGCTCCCGAGTTAGCCTGTTCGAGGAAGAAGTAGCGTTTTATGCCATAAGATAAGATTCCGTTCCACGCCGGTAAAGATGAATTCGCGGAGACGTCTGCGGCGGTCAGCGAAAGCGGTGAAAGCTCTCATCTCGCGTCGTCCATTGTCTCGGCGTGTGTCTGCGGCATCTATTCCATCAGGCAGGCCAGATCGTACGGACCGGAGCGAATAGCATCCCGGGCTGGGGTCTCACTTACGAACTGTACGGGACGCGGATGCACCTGGGCCACAACGGTGATCTGCTCATCCTCCTGTGTGATGCGCGTTATGCGGTCGGATGATATCCATTTGATAAGCGTCTTCTACGTATTGACCCACGGTCCAACCAGTTTTCCCCAGAATTGGCACCTGAAACTGCGCCAGCGTAGGGTAAATGTCCGGGGTGGACCATAACGCTGGATGGAGTTTGGTGTCCATCGTTTCCGCTATGCAGGCGGTTAGAGTGCCCACGGTTGTGCCGTACAAGGACTCCAAGAAGGGCATGACCTCTCTCGGGCACGTATGGAACAGCTGAAAATTGGTCAGCTTACTGTGGACCAAGTTTTGGTGGTGCGCCGACAGGGTCGTATGTCGAACGGTGCACTGGGGAAATATTGAATATCCGCCAGGAATTCGCGTAGCTGATTGAACGCGATCGGTGTCGGTTCGCAGGCGAATAGCATGTAATCCAGCTGGCGCGGGCGAAAAGGCGCCGTGATGAACGAATTCGGCTGTAGATTGCTGAAAATACATCGGAATTCAGACGGTTCCATTAACCGTCACCACGGTGCGGTGACCCTTCATGCATACCTGAAAGGTTTGGTACGCTTTTGACGCGATGGTGATTACGTAACCAGCGTTTCCTTGAGGTCCCGATAAATGAGACCGAATCGATCGACGCGTCATATCGACGGTTTGCGATGATGGCACGCCTGCTCAATTGTCTCCAGGTATGGAACGCCCTCCTTTGGGAATTTTTTGGAACGGGGTTAGGGAGTAAACCCAGACCAAATCCCCGATAAGAAGGTGAAACATATCTAACTGGCGCTTTTCTGTGAGAACGTTTACCGCGAATTGATCTAATGTGACCGTATGAAGATCAAGACGGGCCGGTAATGGAACCTCCATGTGGACGGACTCCAGCGGGCTCCTTGGCCAAACAGCGATTTTACACGGTACAACACCGGATGTATGCCATCGTGGAGACGTAGGCCTTGATATAGCGCAACATTTCGTGCGGCAGCCGGGTCAGCCTATGGGCGCTCTGGAAATTCGACTCTATCCAAACGCATCTGAAACAATTCCAGATATGAATGGCGGAAACTTTCGATTGCGCCTTCATAGGTCCGTCCGGCCTCAAAGATTGAGCATGGCAGACACCTGGATGTTAAGACGCCGACAACCCACTCTATCCCGCAGCTGTGATGCGCTCGAAGTTGGAAGCGGGAAGCTCCGGGTCGTAA